TGGGCATGTTTTGTATGTTTTCTAAAAGTAGTATAAGTTTTACATTGTATGTAATCAAATTGTATTGTTTTAATAACTTGTAACTCTTTTGTACTCTTTTGTTTTCTTTTGGTACATTCATTGCTTTTGGTTTTGTCTTAAAAAAACCTTTTGGTAATTTGGTAGTTTTGTTTGTTTTGGAGTCTGTTTGTTTGCCACCTAAAATTCTCTGACCCAATTCTGAGGAGAATCCTCCTGGGCCAGCTTGATGTGGTTTTGGATGTCTTATCATTAAGTTGTCTGATAAGTTGTCTGATGTACTCCTTTGCATCCCACCAGATTTTTAGAATGATATCATAGTTTTAAATAAAATTCAAACTTCATACTATTTGGTTTCTTTGACCTCAGAAGTCATCTGGGATAAAAACATCATAATAGTATCCATTTTCCAAAGCTCAGATAGTGTTATCCTTGCTGTTATTGAGTTGTTAGGTGGGATCAAATTTTGTTCATTTCAGTGTCTCTTCATATGACTTTCATGTAACATTTATAGAGGAGTGCTTATCAGTGATCAGAGAGTAGTCATAAAATAACAAGGAAAACTGAGCCATCATGAGAAATGCTTCCTAAAGTACGCATATGGTAAATTTTTTTAGAGGTTTCTGATTAAGATCCACTTTGTATATACAAGGTTCCTTTCAAAGGACTAGTTACAGTATCTCCTTAGCCAGTTTTGGAAGCCCAGCAGCAGCCCTTTGAGGTTAGTTTCTCATTATGCTAATGAACTATAGTGTTCACTATCTGCATCTGCAATCATGTTCTTGTGTGTTGCCTTTCTGAATTTAGCTTTTAAAATTTACAGCTAATCCATGAATCTTCCAGAATCTACACTAGTAATCCTAAAGGGATTACATTAGGATTTCAGTCGACCTCAGATATTTCGGAAAATTATAAATACTAAAGATGCTGAATCTTGGTCCTTCTTGAAATGTTAGTGTCCCCAGATTCTTGAGTGATCTTTCAGGAACCTCTGAATAAAACTGTACTTTGAGAATGTGAAATACTACTGCTTTCTTTGTATGTAATGTTTCCTAGGGCTGAACATTCTCTTTTCATAGGTTTTTTCCTGTTTTTAATTCATATTAAAATATTAATAGTAAGCCCCCGTATTTCTCATGGTGTAGTGAAATAGAATATTTAACCTATAGCAGACATGACTTTTTTAACCTTTCTTTGATATATTCTGCTTTACTAATATGAATAAAATCTGCCTGAAAGGAATCTCATCAGTAATTCAAGTACAAAGTAGAGAGGAATGATCTTTACTGATCTAAATACAATATTTTATATCCTGTGTTTTTCATTAGCAGTATCTCAAATCAGTTCTGTTAACTTGTGGATGGGATGTTCTTCAGTTCTTTGGCTGTAACATACTAGTTGATGTCCCAGGCACAGCAAAAGAATCACAAAAAGTAAAAAAAATAGTAAGGAATGATTTATTAGCAAGGGAAAGGTATATCTGGAGATGTGAGACAGGCAGCTCAGATGAGGACTGACTGGCTTGAAGTTGTAGGGGCTTGGGTTTTTGTTATACAATAGGGTAGAATTGCTAGATGGTGCAAAGTAGGGAGTCCTCTGGCCCTCTGCAAATGGTTTTGCAACTGCACAGTGCCTGCCCAGGTGTGGAAAGTCACACACCTGCACTTTAGAGAAGGTAATGGGAGGCATCTGCACATTTGATCCTCTTTGCTGTTCCTCTTTTAGCACTACCAGTAGAAGGTCATATAGTGGTCATTATTCCCCTCATAGTACATGCATAGTCTTGGCACAGGAAATGTGCTGGTAAGGAGGATATAGTGCTGTCATCTTAATTCCAGTGGCATTTCCTATTTCAGCTCTGTTCAGTTGTACTGCCATTTAATTTCCAGATGAATTACTGCAAGACTTTTTTGTTTTTTTCTTCAAGTGGTCCTGGGGTTTGAACCCCAAGCTTCATGCTTGGCAAAGCAAAAACTCTGTCTCTTGAGCCACAGACTCACCATTTTGCTCTTGTTATTTTGGAGATGGAATCTCACAAACTGTTTGCCCAGGCTGGTCAAACCAAGATCCTCCTGATCTCAAACTCCCAAGTAGCTAGGATTATAGGTGTGGGCCACTGGCTCTTCAGGGAATTGATATGCAGCTTGATCTTGATTCTGTCTGGTCTGTCATACTAAATAAATTAATACTCTGATTTTATACATTGGGCTTTATCCTTTGTTAAGTTTCAAGTTATGAGTTTGGTTTTTATTCCAGCCTATTAGAGCTCATAAATTTCTTATTCAGTCTTGCATTTTAAGCTATTCTTCCTAGTTTGTGTCATTCTTAGGTGGTTGGATTGAAATCAGAGATTCTAAACTGACTGCCACATTTATACCCTAATACATTTTATTTGACTACCACATTCGGTGGGAGTTGTTTATTAGGAATGCTTTTAGTTAAGTCTTACACTGGTTTACCAAACACTGCCCATTACTTCATTATAGCTTGGCTATACCTTTATATTTGTTACTTAGACATTGAAGGCATTTGCTTTTGCAACCCCTAATAAATAAAATTACCTATTATGAGGTTAGTCACCTTCCTATCACTGTGACAAATACTTGAGAAAAACAACTTAAATAGGAAAGATTTAGTTTCAGAGATTCCAGTCCATGGTCAGCTGGCTCCTTTGCTTTGGGCCTGTGGCAAGGCAGAAACATCCTATAGGAAGGACTTTGCCATCTTACCACATGGCAGCTTACCTCATGGCAACTAGAAAACAGAACATCCTGGGGTAGGATTTGGTCGCTCTTTCATTGGTATTCTATTTCTGCTGTTTGGAAGGGAAATGTTTACCCTGTGCCTATCTTGCTATTGTATGTTGGCAGTATATAACTTGAATTTTTATTTTATAGGGCCTCATAGCTAATAGTTTGCCTTGAGTCTCAGAGGAGACTTTGGACTTGGATTTTTGAGCAATGCTGGAACTGATAAAACTCTGGGGACTCTTGAAGATGGACTAAATACATTTTGTATTGAGATAAGAGTACAAGGCAAGGAAGGGCCTAGGGACAAAATGTACCCTTCAAGGACACACTCCCAGTGACCAGCTAGGCCCCACCTTCTAAAGTTTCTGCCACCTCCCAGTAGCACCTCCCTCTAGGGGCAAAGCCTTCAACACATGAGCTTTTGTGGGACACTCCAGATCCAAACCATGGCACTTACAGAGGACAGAGCTTGTAGTCTTAACAACTAGAAACTCTTTCGCATTCGTCTTTTAATTCTTCTTTTACATTCTTCCCTTTTTCTATGATTGTTTAGAAAATGATGTAAATTATAATCTAGTGCTATACACATCTCTAGGCTGTTCATAAATATACCATGGTTAACATTGTCAAGTAGTTTTATTAAAATCAAAAACTCTTATAATTGAGTAATAGGTTTTAAAAAAGAAAAGGTAGCTTTAATATCTATACTAATGATCTGTCTAATACCTGAGACTCAGCATTCCTGAATTCTACTTATGCAAGTTGAGTATTTCATATCTAAAATGCTTGAGACCAGGAAGTGTTTCAGATTTTGGAATATTTGCATATACATAATGAGATATCATGAGAAAATGGTATCCAAGTCTAAACATGACATTCATTCATGTACAACTTAAAGCCTGAATATAATTTTATACAGATTTTTAGTGTACCTGAGTCTTTTTACTTTTTTATTGTTGTTTTTGAGATAGATGTCTCTACATTGCCCCAAGTGGCATGGAACTCCTGATCTGAAGTGATCGTCCACCCTTAGCCTCACAAGTAGCTAGGACTACAGGTATACATAACTTATGTTTATATCTTGACTGTGACCTGTTACATGAGGTCAGATGTAGAATTTTCCACATTTGACACTCAAGATATTTGCAATTTTGGAGCATTATGGATTTTTACTATATTGCTTAGTTTCTGTGTGTTGTGAGTTTCTTCTTATGCTCTAGAACCTTGCTTCATCAGTTATCCCTTTCCATCCATATAACTTTAATCTATCCTTATCTTCTTAGTCTACAAATAAATTTGGTAAATAATACAAATGAAAAAAGCACAGCAACAATTTTTCTTTGATTTTACTTCCCTTTAAGTTACCAACTGCTAGAATGTCTCCTTACTTTCACCACCAGAGATTTTGTAAGAACAAATGAAATTAACTTCCTCTTGTTCCTTGCTTGGCATTTGCTTGTTCTTGAACCCAGAATTTCTGGAACATTGACCTTAAGAAGGTAAAGCAGAATAGGATTTTTTTCACAACTTCTCACCCCCCTTTTTAAAACATGTAGCAGCTTGGCTAACTTATTTCTAGCTACAAAAGTGAAGGAAGAGTTTCTGGGGATAGAGTTTCTGGTAGGGGTATATTGTGATAGCAAGCACCATCATTAGACTGAGGTTGGACAGAGAAGGGGTGCTGGAGGTTGAAGAGGAAGAATGGATAAAGAAAGTAGTCTAGAAAAGTGAATGGACTAGGCAGGTGTGTAATTATTATGGGACCAGTTGAATTTACTGATGATGACTTTAACCCCTCCTCTTCCCTCCCCTCTCCTGTACTCTTTCAGCCTGATATCTTGAGTATAGGTTTGTCTTTGCCTACAATGCTTCTTTTATACACAATTCAAAAGTCTCTTTTATACCTGCACCCTTACTTCCTCTGTAGGGCTACTGTCATATGGGAAATGCTCAGTAAATGCTGAAATTGAAGTTCTCTACTTGAGTTTGGTAGGTGAGATGATTTCAAATCAGGATACCTGAATTTTTTTCACAGTTTTGAAATAGCTATGTTTTAAACATGGAATTATTAGTTAGTTGTGGTAGACTTGTATTTATAGTTAAGTTTATAATAGAACGTGATTTTATCTAATTAAAATTTGACACATGAAACTTCGCTTTAAAATATGAACAAGTGAATGTATGGAGAATTTAGACCAATTCCTAATCTGTGTTTTAATAAATTCTTTTCAGAAAGATGAGGTCTACCTTAATCTGGTGCTGGACTATGTTCCGGAAACAGTGTACAGAGTTGCCAGACACTATAGTCGAGCCAAACAAACACTCCCTGTGATCTATGTCAAGGTATGTAAAAACGTAACAATTTCCTATTTTAGAAAATACTTACTGTGAGCCAGGGATAGTACTGGCTATGTTTTAATTACATTATTGCATATAATACTCAGGAAAAACTGCAAAGTAGGTATTGTTAGTTTTTTTAATTCTTGTATAGTTTTAAAACATGAAGTCTTCCCTTTTTAAAAATTTCAGCATCAATGGGCTTTGAACTCAGTGCTTACTTGTGCTAGGTAGATGCTCTAGTACTTGAACCATGACATCAGCTCCCCCTTTTTAAGGTATTTTTTTGTATAAGGTCTCATGTTTTTTTGCCTTGGAACTGTGGTGCTCATACCTATGCCTCCTAGTACCTGGGATTACAGGTATACACAACCATGTTAAGTTCATTTGTTGAGATGGGGTTTGTGCTAACTTTTTGCCTGGATGGGGCTCTAACCACTATCCTCCCCCATCTCCCAAGTAGCTGAGATGACAGGCATGAACATCTGACCATCAAATCTTCACTTCTTTTTTTTTTAAATCTTCACTTTTTTAATTTTCATGACTTACACTAAATATACTCTGATAAAATATAGTGAATTTTTTCACAGACAATGGTGGATTTTAATTCTGAAAGCCATAGCACCTTTTTATTATTTTCTGATTTTATTGTATGAGAGACCAAAATAAGAGCATACCGCATAAACTTATGTAAAACTATATACTTATAAATATGTTCAAATTCAATGTTCTCTTGACATTTGTAGATATATTTATTGCATCTGTATCAGAACATAAACTTTTGGCAATTCTAAACCTATAAGCATTGTTTAGTTTTTGATGTAATATTGATGCCATCTTACTTATTTATAGAACTAATAGCATGTCAATGCACAACCTGTAATACCAGCACTCAAAGCTGACGCAGAAAGATCATGAGTTTGAGGCCAGCCTGGACTACATAGTGATACCATGTCTCAGAAAAAAAAAAAGGCAGGGGTAGGGGCTAGATGTGTAGTTCAAGTGAAAGAACACTAGCCTAGCAATGGCGAAGCCCTGAATTCAAAACCCCAGTACTACAATGAGAGAGAGAGAGAGAGAGAGAGAGACTGAATACACCTTCATTACATATAATTGATATACAATAAAAGAACTAAAAAAATAAAAATTTTGCACTTTATAGAAATGACTCTAGAAAATAAAATGTCATTGACCAAATGTTTTATGTTCAGAGTTTTGAAGTTTTTCTTAATTTTTACAATTTCAAGCTTTACTGTAATAAAATAGATACCAAGGCAGGAACATTAATAATAGAATTTCTTTTAGGACTTTTGGTAGCTAGGCACTTTTGACAAAGGCATTCAGGGGTCCTGTTGAATTCGGTGTTGATTCCAGTATAATTTTATTTGCACTTATCAAATTTTTTTTGAGGTTGTGGATAAATTGATGGTAATAAGAACCTTCAGATATATTTTTTCCTATACATTTCCTCACATACTTTGTTTCTGGTTTTAGCAGATCCTATTCTAGATAACTAGCATAGTAAAGTATCTCTTTGAACTCACTAAATCTAGAGTGATTATTTGAGCTACTTAGTTTAGAATGATGATGGTTTGGTTCTGCCTGCCGTGTGGTTTTTACTATTGCCAATGAAGAGCATGGGCACATTTATGAAGAAGAGACTCTAGATCTGTTTTCTGAAGACCTGGTTTTGAGGTCCAACATTGCTACTTAGTTATGTGGTTTTTATACAAGTCACTAGTCCATTTTCTACTGAGCTTCCACATTCATAAAATTAGACTTCTTTCTGCCCACGATATAGCATTGTTGATGTGTAAAAGAAGTTTATCATATGAGAAAACACCATGGTGGCTGTAAAGTAGAACTAATAGAAGGTCTTAACATGATCACAAAGTGGCATATTGTGGACATTGAATGGGAGGTTGGGCTGTTTTTTAATTGTTGTTTCAGTTCTTTAATTCAACCAGTAAGTCCCAATTGAGTCAATAATATCTGATGCCTAATAAAATGTTTCATTATTCGTCTTACAATCAGAAAAAGCTACCTAAGTAACAATGAAATAAGGTAAAATATGTTATAAGAGTGGTTCAGATGTCAGAAATACCATATAGTTTTTAATGGCAAAATCTTGGAAAAGAGAAGGGTACCCTGATACTTGTGTTGGGTCTACCCTCCAGATTTGTTAACCTCTCCACAGAGAATGTGATCGCTTGCTAAGCAGCACCTATTTCTCATTATCTTTTTTTTCTTTTTTTTTTTTTTGTTGGGACTGGGATTTAAACTGAGAGTTTCATGTTTGTAAAGAAGTAGCTTTACCACTTGAACCACACACCTCCAGTCCCTTTTCCTCTGGTTATTTTGAAGATAGGGTCTCATGAACTATTTACTGGGGCTAGCCTCAAACCATTGATCCCCCGAATCTCAGCCTTCCAAGCAGCGAGGCTTACAGGTGTGAGCCACTGGCACCCAGCCCCACTACTTCTTAATGTAAGATAGGCCAAGCAACTTTCTGTTCAAATATTTGCCTGCAGAATTTTTGCTTATTTGTGTATATTTTCTTTAGTACTCTAAACATTTTTTTGTTGAAAATACCAAGTATATTTAAAAGTAGATACAACAGAATAGTGAACCCCACATGTACCTGTCACACAGCTTCAACAGTTATCACTTGTTAGCTAACTTTATCTCATCTGTACCTCCCTCTACCTTGTAATTCCTTTATTATTATTTTCATATGTAAGTACTACAGTATATCTGTATCAAAGATCAGATTTTCTTTTAAAAAGGGGTAATTCTGGTACTGTTGTAATAGTACAAATCAATCATTAGCATAATCAAATATCCAGTTTATATTTCCCATGTCTTATAATTTTTTTGACAGTACAGGGGTTTGAACTTAGGGCCTCACACTCACAACTACCACTTCCTTTTAAATTAGAATATTTACATTCTTCCAAAATAAAATCTACAAAACAAGATTATGTTCAAAGAAACTTAACTTTTATCTCTGTTACTTCTCTGTTCCTTTCTTCCCTCAGGGTTAAATATTTAATTTTTTAGAAACAGTTTATCCCTATCACTTTTAAAATAAACACAGATATAATTACTTTATCCACTGCCTTTGCCCTTGCCTATAAATGGTAACATAAGATATACATTTCCCTGTAATGTTTTTTTTAATTAAAAATACATCCTGGATATTGCTGTGTATTTTCTTGTGTGTATGTATGTGATATGTGTGTAGCCTTCCCTTTTATATCTGCATGTTTTTCATCATATGGTTGGAAACTTTTCCAGCCACTGACCTATCAATCCATGTATTATTTTTCAGGTTTTATCTCATCTGATTTCTGTTACTACAAATAATGGTGTACTAGAAAACCTTGTTTGTGCTCACATCTTTCTGTATAAAAATAAAAATTGTTGGGTTAGATGTCTGATATTGTTTAGCATTAAAAGATAAATAATTTTCCCTTCTGGGAAAAGGGGTCATTCTTTTATATGACTACAGCTCTTCTAGTACCATCTTCCATGATAAATACTGAGAGTCAGCTGTTGGCTGTAGGCATTTTTCTTTCGGAACACAAATCTAATGTTTAAGGATCTGAAAAGATAAACAGTGTCTGCAGTTGACGAGTTTATGAGTTGATCTCCTTCACTTACTCTACATAGTTTTTTGGGTTTTTTCCCCCCTGGTTCTATTATATGAACAGTCTCAAGTTGGAAGATGGAAATAAACCTCACCATCTCATAAAGACTTCTTTGATGTACATGTTACCAAAATTGAAACTGCATTTCTTTGTGATCAGCATTGACCTTTTGTGGAGTTTCTGAAAATGCTTTGTTACCTGTTTTATGCTACTGCCTACCTTGTAGTTGATGACAGTTAATACACACGTTTAAAAGGTTTTGAGTACTTTTGCTTTTCTAATGAGCATCTTTTAGAACTGAGTGGCTTTTAAAATGGTACTCTAAAACAGATAACTAACACATCATTAACTTTTTTTTTAAGAGATGGGGTGTCATTGTATTGCCCTGGCTGGTCCTGAATTCCTGGGTTAAGCCATCCTCCTACGTCTGTCTCTCAAGCGATGACAGGCATGTGCCACTGCACCTGGCTTAAAAAATTTTTTTTAATGGGGAAAAACTAATTTAAGGACAAGGTCAGGGTTACATAAGGGAGCTGGATGCATTTTTTGTCAGTGATAAAATTGTTATTCTCTTACTTGTTTTAAACATGTCGTGGCACACAAGAGAGGATACTGGAGTTGTGTTATATTTGATTTCTTAGAACTGTGTTCCTTGGGGTTTAATTTCATCCCCTATAAAATGAGGACAAATGTGTGTTTCATAAGTGATTGCAAGAATGAAACAAATGAGTAGAAATAAACTTGGTCTTGTGACTGGTACATGTTAAATCTGTTATATTTCAAACAGTTCGATTATATTTGAGCTTGTTTTCATTTTTGGTTTGTGGGGGTTGAACCCAGAGACTCACACATGCTGGAGAAG